ATATATATATGTAATAAGAACAGAAAACATTTTAATAAATATTTTAAATATCTTGGTAAAGTTTCTTTTTAAAACCACACTGAATTTTAGTAGAAATCCAAATAAACTGAGTTCTTTTTCAATAATTTAACCCGTCACCCTGTCCACACTCTAAGGGAGGTGTTAATGAAGAATATTAGGGCCAAAGGCAGGCAGCAGGGGGCAGTGTGTTGAAAAGGAACCAATAATCTCAAGCCTTGAATAATTAGCAGTTATATCATGAACACACACACGCACGCACACACACGCACTGAGAAACAGATCTGACCGGTCTTTGAGAAACACAATACTAGTTGCTTGGAGACAGGGACACTGAAGAATTAAAGGTAGAGTCCCAACCCTAGACAAATTTATAACCTAATCAGGAGAAAAAGAAATCCACATGGAATTAGCATTCCAGCTCATCTTCAAAAATACAGCAATGAACACAAATGCATGAAAGTAAATGCCCAGATAAATAGGAAATGAGAAGAACATTAAAGACGGCGTGACTTTGAAAAGTGGTTAATTTATTTTCAGAACGTACTTTACACACCAAGGGAGAAATCCTATCAACGAATACAAAGGTTTGTTTCTTATCAGCCAGTCTTTATATCTAAATTAGAAGAGCAAGGGCAACATAAATGGATGCAGTAAATTTATAAATAAGCAATAAATTTGGGGGACACATAAAACTATATATATATATATATATATATGCGCCACCTATTCTGTCCCTTATATTGTGTGTGTGTGTTTTCTTCTAGGGATATTTCTTTACCTGTCTTTCTCCACATCAAAACTGTAAGTTCTTTGAGGGAAAGGTATTTTATCATGTTAAATATTCCTGGCCCCTAATATTGGGTATATCTATCAATGTATAGTAACCCATACATTGGAACTCAAGGGAATATTTAAATATTACCACTATATTTGATAAATGCAGATGACAAAGAGTCAAAATTACATCAACCAACTAAGGAAGACAGAAAATATTGCATTTTACAGAAGATACTGCCAAAAAAGTCACTGCTGGCTAAAAAAAAAAAAGTCATTGCAAATATAATTAAATAAAAATAGTTAATTATTAATCCTTATAAATATTTACCTTCCGGTGTGAGGATCAAACCCAAAGTAAAGGTCCTTACAGCGGTCACAGCTCAGCCCCGCAGTGGAAGGATCTTGGCAGACGCACTGGCCGGTTCGGCTGTTACAGATGTGATGAGCTGCGCCAGCTGTGTGGCACGAACAGGGCAGGCAGCCACTGGCATTGCCCGGAGAGATATAAAAACCTGAAATAAAAAAATGAAAAGAATTTATATATACTTCCTAGCCAGTCTTTTATTTAAAAGATAGTATTTTGATTACATATAACACGGGGCAGTCTATAGGGGCACAAAACTAAGTCCCAGTACAGATGTGCTCAGAGCTGTTCTTAGCTAGTGTGTCAATTGTCACCAAAGAAAGGCTAAGTCAGTAACTGGCATTGTCCCTGGTGTCTCCCATGCACCTAAAATTCAGGGCATTTGAAAACGACTTCAGTTCTCCCTTTAATCTTCATTTTTAAAAGTGGCACCTCCATCTCTTCGGATGCTCATCCTAGAACCCCAAAACATCCTTGCGAGGCACAAGGGCGGCCAGATAAAATACAAGATGCCTGGTTAAGGTTGAATTTCGAATGAACAATGACAATTACTTTTTAAGTAAAAGTATGTCCCACCTGATATTTGCTTATATTTAAAAAATAATCTGAAATTCAAATTTAAATGAGCATCCTGTATTTTGCTAAAACCGGCAACCCTTAAGCCCTTCCCTTCCCCTTCCCCTTCCCTTCCCTTGGCTAGTTACCAAGTCAAAGGCTACTGACCCTAAAAATTTTAATCTACTCTCCATCCCTGATGCCACCTTCCTAGTTAAAGCTGCCTCCGAGTTTTTCATAGTTCACCCTCTATATCCGAGGCTACGAGAAGAGCCTTATATTCATGATCTCATTTAGTTCTGTCAGCAATGCTAGTAATTAGGGTATTGTTATTACGTCTGTTACATAAATTAGAAAACTGGACATCGGAAAGATGAACAGTTCCGTAAAATGATAGAACTAACAAATGGCAGATCCCAGATTCGAACCCCGGCATCTCAACCAGACGCCATTCTTGCCCAACCGTCGCCAATCAGTTTGCCGATCTTCTCCACGGTCCTGCACGGTCTCCCCTTCGAAAGCTTCAGGAATAGTAAAATAGAAAAATCGTGCTCAATGAGAATTAAAAATAAGAGGCTCCAAATGTGTGCCGTTCCGTTGGAAAGACCTCACCCTGTCATTTTTGCTGCAGTTTACAACTAGCTCCCGTCACGGCGCCTCCGCATCCCCCGACAGCAATGTGCCTTGGATGTGTTCCTGGGAGCAGCGCAGGGCCACGTCGATCAGGGCAAATTTTCACAAATTTGGGAGACTTCTATTTCCGATTCCGTATCACTGAGGCCGTGAGTCTACGTATTTTATTTCCCGGGAAGATACCTAGGCCCTTAGGCCCGTGAACCTACTAACAGCTCTCCAATTTGGATAAATTACACATTAGCACAGACACCTCGGAGCAGGATCGATTTAGACTCATTGCGACAGCTTCGAGCCACAGAGAATTCTAGAACGATGAAGGATGGTGTTATACAAGGAATGACCTGTGAGATAGCCCTGTGAGGACAAGGGGGGACTTCTTGGTGCAGAAGACTGGGTTGCCCAAGTTTCGGAGAACAAAGAAAAAACAGGAGATAACAAACAGAGAACAAAAAAGGTATTTAAACTCCTAGGGAGGCAGCAACCTAGAGGTAGAGCTTCGGGGAAAAGATTACTTTGGAATTGGTCCGGGCTTAATTTCCCTCCTCTCAGGAGCATGATTCCAAAGGTTAATCCCACCAGTATTTCAGTCGCCCTATTTTTAAGCGGTTCTAATTAGGATGACTCAGGTACCTTCCTGTTCAATGATCACTTCCCTCCGTACCTGAATGTGCCTAATTCTAGATCATTAGCTTTCCTTTTATGACTTCCAGCTACAGAAAACGACACTCTCCCCCTCCTCCCCCCTTAAGCTTCGACTCCTGAGTGCAGCTTACAGATAACTGGCCTGGATTTCTTTTCTTTCACTCAGTGCGTTTCTGATCTCCTTCCATGAGCTGAGTTTCTGATCTTTTTGGGATTTCTCTCCATGAAGGATTTTGGGCCACCTACTTAAAATGAAACACAGCCACTGGGATGATGACATTACCCTGCCTTATGCAGTGCTGCGAGTTTACATGTCGACGGCCCACATCGGCCCACTCGAGTTTACGGCTGTCCCCGGTTTCATTTATTTCCGCTAACCCCTGGTCCCAAGCAAGACTAGCCTCCTGTGGACAACAATGCGTTTTGCAGATAAAGCAAAAGAAGTCGCCCATATCATAAAGCAGCGTGGCTTTGTCTTGGAGAAAGTTTGCAGAATCCTGAGAGTTCAACGTGATTAGCAAGGCAGCTGGTATTATCTCCTGTAGTGGCTATTTGCACAACACACTACCTGTCTTGGGCATAAAAGGAGAGCCCATTTCCGAGCAATGTCCCTCCCGAGGACCATGAATACCGCTAGGCTTTACTGAGGTCTTGAAATGAGAGGAAGGAAACCAGTTTAACCTCCAGGCCCTATTCAGAAAAGGAGGGCAGGGCCCAGGCTAAGCACTAATTACACGCCATTTAGGAGAAACGACTCTCGGTGTAAAGCCAGAGAATGGACATGGTATTAAGGGAAGTCTAGGGAGGAATCTGCCGCTCCCCGGCACCAGGCAACAATAGACTATCTTCGTAACGGTTTTACAAATCAATATTTTCAGAATCAAGTACGGTAGGTGATGCTAATCTTCAAATTGAGACCCTGATCATTTCCCTCCATCGGGTAGTTGCATAGAAAAATAATGCTAAGATCATCATTCGCAGATCCGAACAAACATCAATAAATGCATACATAGATATTAAGAGCATCCATTGAAAGGTATAATTTCTCTTCTCTAAAAGGTTTTTCTAAGCTCTTCTTCAGTTGATCGAAATACGCTTCTTAAATTCCCTGCTCCTGGTTTTCCCGGACTGCTCTACTCTCCTTGACGATCTTGCCAACTTGTATTTAGTTGTAAAACTCAGCTCAGAAATCACCTTCTCATGTAAGTTTTCCATATCTCCCCCATTAATGCTCGAAGAGGTAATCAGCCTGTTTTCTTTTCTACTTTTCTCTACTGTACATTTCCAAGACTGCAGTAGTCACACCGTGATATTTCTGGGCAAGTCAGTGTCCCCCGCCAGACCATAAACCTTAATATATTTATGACTGTGTATCTTACATCAGCATACAGCATGCTCCCCGGCACATAGTAATTTATCCAATAGATGTTTATCAAAGCACAGGGATATATGCGCGGAATGGATGGGAGGCTGAATGGATGGAGGGGTAGATGGATGGGTGGGTATCTGTTACCCCTCAAAACAGGAGGCGATCCCTTTAACGCTGAAAAGGAAAGCGGTTAACATAAATCCCTGAGTTCTGAGAGTGACGGTGGCCTGGCCCAGAGGAAAAGTATATGAGTCAGGCACTTTAAATAATGATTTGTTAATGATTTCTACCCCCAGCCCCCCGATGTGCTAAGATTATGGTCCTTGTTACCCAGGACAGGTTCCCTCCTGGAGGGTATTAAGGAGGAGTCTCTTATCCAAAGACTCACTTATCTCCCTGGGAAAAGCAGGTTAATCTAGAAAGCTGTTTCGCCAAACACGAGGCCGTGTGGCTTCACCGAATCTCAACTTCGGTGCTCCGATCTTTATTGGCATATCATCAGGCGTCCAGTTCCGATTCCACTGACCATGCCCTGCGCTTCCCTTCGTGAAACCAGAGACTTGCTTTTCCTTCCTAACAGTCTGCGCGAATTATAAAACAAAACCAAAAGCAAATACCCGAGGAGAGAGCGTGAGGAATGGTCCTATTAGCACAAAACGTGTCATAAGAAGCTGTTTCCATTATAAATTAGCCTTTATTTTATTCCGAAGCCGCAGAGTCCTCCATAAACCCTCACTGCCTCTCGTCCTCAAGGACACGGGTGGGTCACGGGCTCCAGATGCCCTGACATCCCTGCCTGGCTCTCCCGGCCCGGCCTCCGACTAAGTGCCTGCAGCTGAACGTCCCGGGGTCACCCGGCTCTGGAAAGACGCACGGGGAACGTGTCTTCAGTGCTGTATTTATTAGCGTGGGTCTGTGTACATTCATATACGTACACACACTCCAAATAATTTTAAATTAGGGCATTTTAAAAATACTTAATGGAGGTTAAGCAGCATTTTTAACCTCTGCTCAAGTTATTGAATGGCATATTAAAACCGATGTGGCTCTAATGTGCCTTCTAATGCGCGCTGCTGCTTTAACAAATTGCCTATAAATTTCAGCTGAATTAAGGCTCTTCCTTGTACATCCCAGTAAGGTTAGGTTAATAATACATGAGGTTTCATTACATGCACCTTCCTTAATAATGTTTTTTAAGAAAGTGGGACAGGAATCTATGTGCAGCCGTCTCCTACAGGCCAATGATATTTACAATTACAGATGAGGAAGGCAGGCGGGAGTCCTGAGCCTTGCCGGCTCACCCCTCCGTGCCCCACTGCTCACACAGCGGCCTGGTGCCCCCCCGTGCCCCCCAGCAGCCTGTGACTGGTCTCCCCCATGTGTTTAAAGACAGGGAATGAAAGATCCCAGACATGCATTTCAGGCTACTTAGAGCATCCGATTATGATAGAGATACTTCAAGACAAGGGGGCTCTGTTTTTCTACGTAAATTTAACAGTAAGAGACAAATTTGACATAGTTGATGGAGCTATAAGAATGCAGGACCAGCCCTGGCCTGTGTGGCTCAGTCGGTTGAGGGTCCTCCTGTGCGCCAAGAGGTTGCTGGTTCCATCCCCGGTCAAGGGCACCTGCCCTGGTTCTGGGCTTAATCCCCAGTAGGGCGCATGCAGGAGGAAGCCCACCGATGTTTCATTCTCCCATCAATGCTTCCATCTCTCTCCCTCTCCCTTCCTCTCTCTCTAAACATCAACAAACTATTCTTTTAAAAATAATGCAGGACCAAACACAAAAAGAGAAATATCTACGCACCTACGCTGACCTTTCCATAAGCTACATATATGTGCACAGGATGTCTTGTTTTGTCCAAAAAATGCATTAGGTGCCTAAGCTATAATTTTCTTTCCTCCCCTGAAGGATCAAACATCATATCCCCCCAATGTCTGTGTCATTCAAGGGGTGCTCACAGTGCCCAGGCCTAAAGAGAGGAGAATGCCATTGAGGTGGTTTTTAAATGTAATCGTTCACTTAATTCAGAAAATACACATGAAGTGCCCACTACGGGGACGCAGCTCTGTGGGCCTGGGACAGAGCTCTGAGCAACCCGAGCAAAAGCTAAAGGGGAACAAATGCCCCCGGCCTGGCTTTGTGGGGTATCACATAACCCAGCCTCCTTAACGTTGAAGCGAGTTCCAATTGTTTTCTGACACTTTTATCTCAAAAAGAATTAACTGCTCATCAATTCCTTCTTGTCTCCTTGGATTTACTTGTCACACTGACCAACCTCAACAGAAAGGAGAAGCCGGCCTCCTTGTCATGCAAAACGGGACAGGAGTCCCACCTTTCCCAGCAGGCCAGTCNGAGAAGCTGGCCTCCTTGTCATGCAAAACGGGACAGGAGTCCCACCTTTCCCAGCAGGCCAGTCGCCCTCCTGAATTTGTATCATGGTCCGTGTCAGAGGCTCAGGATTTTGGCCGACAGGACAACAGTTAGGACAGTTGTCAGACAAGCGGGGGATGTGGGCGTGTATCATGTCAGCGGGGTGAATGTATCATCAAGAAAACAAAATTTTAGTTAAAATCACGGAGGAAGCCAACAGGGTTTATCTTTCTTTCAACCAGGACACAGATGACAGGAAGAGCAGGGTGGAACTAAACAGGGGCCTATTTTACTAAACTGATGGCATTTAAAAATGATTCTAGATGTTTCTCCGTGATGCCAGGACAGCCAATAAAAAAAAAAAAAAAACAACATTTGGTGATTTTTAGTTAGAAAATCAGTTCCTCGTCTGAATATCTGACATTGTATGATAACCAACTCAAGTTTTCCTTTCTCTGGAAAATAAAATGCATTCTTGCCACTCTTAGATTTTTTTTTCAGTTGCTACAGGAAGATTCAGTTCAAGTTGAGAAATTAAATACAAGTGAGTCGCGATTGTGAAAGGTCGCCGGCTGGCATGCGTCTAAAGGGTCAGACAAATACGCCACCTAGTCCTGAGTACATCGAGCAGTTGTATCTGTGCCGCATAATTGATATAAACTCAACACGGATGTTGGGGGTCAAGCTTCTTAGGAGTCACAAATGATTAACCAAGGGGACTCGCCCAACATGGGGTAAAGAGGGGAAGGCCGCTGTGCTCTGAAAACGTAGCACACTCCTCTCTTACCTGGTTGACACCGATCACACCGTCTCCCTTCACGACGAGGCAGACACCGGCACTGGCCACTGGCTGGGTCACACACGGTCCCAGGCGATGTCCCCAGGGAGTCGCACTCACACGTCCGGCAGCCTTGGAAGTCACCCGTGGTCAGATTGTACCTGTGAGGCTCACACTGATGGCAGCGGAGACCTGTTACTCCTAATTTGCAAGGACACTGTCCTGTTGATTTGTCACACAGCAGAGAACCATTCACTGTCCCCGTCTTATCACAGTCACAGGGCAGGCAGAGGAGAGAATTATTTTGCTGTAGGGAGAAGTGTCCCTCCAAACATTCCTTACACTGTCTTCCTCCCACGTTGGGCTTACAGTGGCACTGCCCTGTCCCAGCGTCACAGACCGTCCCGGGGAGGGACCCAGCTGGGTCGCAGTCACAGGCCTTGCAACCGGTGGCGTCCAGCCCGTAAAAGTGTTCTCTGCAGGTGTCACACTGAAGTCCCCGGGCTTCTTTTCTGCACTCACACTGCCCAGAAAGAGGGTTGCAGAGTTTGCTCAAGGAGCCGTAGAGGTGACAGCGACAGGGCTCACATCCATCACCATTCAAACTCCTCAGGAATTTAAAGCCAATGTCGCAATGATCACATCGGAGCCCTAAAGATAAAATTTGTGTTAAAAAAAGGTGAAACTGTGAAAATGAGTCTAGCGGCGCTTTCAAGGTGGCCGAAGCCCCAGCAGCGAGGCTGCTGATGTTTAATGCAGACAAACGTGGAGCGTTTTCTCCCAAGTAATGCCAGGGAGAGCTAATCGCAGGCTCCAAATATGACGGCGATTCTCAATTGGGAGGATGCAACTTTAGTTTTGGAATGTGCTTTATTCACTTTTATTTGTATATTAATGCAAAGGAAAATGCTCAGTGCCAACTCTATTACCTATACTAGAGCTCTTCTCTTTAGAGACTATTCAAACTATTATTATAAAACTAATAACTATGTTGAAACTATTATTTGTACTCATTTTATATTAACAAAGCATGTTTGTTTAAAAATGCACAGTAGAGAGAGTGAAGTACATTTTCAAAGCCATACAGAAGTATGCGTAGTTATTTTACTAGAAATCAGAATCCCCTAAAAATGTTAAGGTGATAAAAGGATCACACATTTCAATAATTAATATAAATAAAACTTATCCAGGGCAATTTTTATTTCAGTACTTTTATACGCTCCTATATTTCATCACTTTCAATTAATATAAATTATGCTCTCCTTGGCTCATGTAGCATTCACATTGCTTGTCATATTGTATGATTCAGAACATACCTCTTTAAACACTAAATAAATTCTGCTGTTTAGATTACTTCTGCTTAAAGGAGTGCTTCTATACATTTCACAGACAGAGAAAAATGGTTTATCAACTAGACCTAAATCTCCGACCGCTTAGGTTAGTTCCAAAAAGAGTATTCCAAGGCAAAAAAAAAAAAATTTAAAAATTGAGTAGTCAATGTTGAGATACAAAATACTTTCTTTAGATGGCCTTCAAATATCCGTGAATTTAAGTAACTGACTCTGTGGGGTTGAACGGACGGAAACATTTATTTTGAGATTTCATAGCAACCAAAAAATGAAAACTACAGTAAGAGTCAAAAATCACACTCCGGAGCTCCCAGGTAGAAAAGCATTTCCTAAACGGGAAGGAAACGCATGTGTGTGTGTACGTCCGACTCCAGAGGAAGGCGAGTTCTTTAGCAGTGATGAATGGCCCACCTAAGGCATATCATTTAATTTCAATAAAGAAAATAAAAAGGGCCACTACTGCTGCAAATTTTAAAAATAACTGTATTGTTAACAAGAATTATGACTCATTTTGAACTATTAAAATTGGTCTACATGGATTCATATCGCATCAGCTTTAAAAATATGCGCGGCGCTTATTTGAATATGCCATACATATTCCTGACAGGTAATCTGTTCCTAACGATAGGCGCCGAGGCCTACGGGGCATGGCGCGGGCTCGCCAGTGCGGCCAGTTAGCGCGCTGGCCATTTAATTCGCAGGCTTCTCCCCTTCTATTCTAGACGAATGACCTACTTTAATAAAATTATCGGTGCTAATGTATTTTCCTGGTGATAGGATCGTTAGTGAGATTTAACAGTTTTGTTAACTCTAACAGTTTGCTTTCCGAAGCATGTACAACACACTCTTGTGTTTTCTGGGACGGAGGGGGGGCTCTTTCTGATCTACAAGGTAAAGATTGAAGAAGGGTTACTTGTTAATCCCCTTAGAAAAAAATAAATATTTATAGAGACTGAGTTTATATTCTTATTAAGCATGCTGAATGTGCAGAAATAAATTTAGAAGTGATATCAGAATGGTGATTTCATCTTCAAATATATGGATTTATATTATTTATATCTATATCTATGTCTATATTCATATTTGTACTTAAATTTATATTTTCCTGCAGAGAACTATCTAGATCAACCAGTAAAATACGTAAATGGTAGAGAGGTCCTAACAAATTCTAGGTAAATTGCACATTTTTATTTTTTTCCCTTCTTTAAGCTCTGGAATCTGACCTTCACAAGAAAGATTCCATCGATAGAGAGAAGTAAATGTTTCATTGTCTTTAAAGGCCTTTCTTTAACTTTTGTTTTCGCATTCTGAATTTAACATCTATCTCACACTGAAGAACGGAGGATGCCGCAGAAATTGAATTCCAAGGCCTTAGAATGCCTTCAGCATCCCGGGCAACTCTTATACAGAGGTGTGCTTCTGTGTGAACGCTGGTGATACAGCTTCTCTGGAAAGTTCGTTTTTGTGTGTTTGAAATGCATCAGGGCAGCTTACATTAACATTTTTGATGTAATCTTTCTCTAACCCAGAGAAATCGCGTGTAACACCATCGCTCACACCTCTCCGCTCTTTTATTAAATTAAAATGAAATGCTGATCTAGCTGAATAAAATGACGTGTGTATATCTACGTAAAGATAAAGAAATTGTTTTAGTGTTATATCACAGAAATGCAAATATTCAGAATATGTTCTTATGTATGTGTATATATATGTCTGCATTTGTGTGTGTCTGTGTGCATGCATACATGTGCATGGGTGTGTGACTGCCAGGCATGATTTTATTATTATTAGGTTCAGGTCAATGTTAGAAAAACGATGGAAGACTTGAATGACAATAGAAAGGCAAAGGTCTTTTTTAAACTTCCTAAACGAACCAAGGTATGTTCAGTTACAATACAAGGCTCACTTCATCAGGAAACTTTCCGCTCGTAATATTCTCATATATCAAAATTTCAAATGCATTATGTACACGGCGCATTTCGGGCACTTGATAAATTTTGTCCTTATGTGGCTGTGTTCCCCTCAAAAATGTTGGATGTAATAAATTGCTATAATCAAATCTAATTTCTGAAAAATACCTGTGGGAGTAACAAACAAAAAAGCACGTCTTGTATAAAAAAATGATAAATAACACCGAGGGTAGCTGTTTATTATAGCCAGCTTGGCACTGAATTACAAAATTAAAATTATGTGGCCCTTTATAACTAACGCTAGCAATACACATGATCGGTGGAATTATGTTGACTTATTTTGCATTTCATAGGGACAGTTCAAAGAAATATAATAGAAAAAAAAATATGGAAAGATTTATCACAAAGGACCCTGTAGCCCAGAATATTTTGAAAAAAAAAAATTCCATTTATTTTGGTCTATTAAGAAAACTCACATGGAAATCATTTGCTTAGAACTCATTAAGTATAAAACATTCTGAAAAAGTGCTAATTTTCTAAAAGAAACATCTATGCGGTAAGCAAATTATATCTCTCTATGACTTATTAGTATGGGACCGTGTGAAGTAGAGCAGCTGGCTGCAGACTCAAGCAACTTCTAAAGGGCTGATTAAACTAAGCTTCCCGGCTGAAGTTTGATAGAGTTATTAATTTAATCATTTTTAGACAGTTAATTTCGTTCAGATTGTTTTTTCTTTTCCAGCCTGCTTTGAGCAGGGAAATCTGCTTTACTCTTCGGTGAAGAAATCACACCGAGGATTTGATTCCAGATGCTAATAGAGATGTGTCTGCAACTCCTGCATTACACGTACCCGTGACATTCGCTTTGCACTTGCACTGGCCTGAATTTGGGTGACAGGTTATATCTCCATCCACTGTCCCCGAGGTATTGCATTTGCAGGGACTACAGCCATCAGGATCCGCCTCTTGCAGGTTGTAGAATCCATCGTGGCACTGATGGCACCGTCTGCCAGAAACACGTCTCTTACAATCACACTGGCCTCCCATCTGGGGAAGAGACAACGTTTTGTAGAATGATGAACGTGTCTGCTTTTAGATAAACTTGCTCATTCAGTACAGGGCAGGGAGGGAGGGGGGGAAAAACTTAAAATGTTAAACAGACAAGAAGGTAATACGGTTATTTTTTCCCCCCCTCCTGTTACAAAAACCTAGAAAGCTTCGGCAGGGGGACTGTATGGAACTGAATTAAAATAAACCCCACAGAAGTCAGCAGTAGGCGGCTAACGGGGAAACGTGAATTAAGCATCAAGTACCACGCAAAGAAATAAAAATGTGGGCAGGTGGGGACCGAAAATAGAAAGGAGGCAGCAGTTAATTTAGTCTTTACAACTCGACCTGCTTCTTTCCTCTCCTTTACTGTTCATCCAAACTTGCCTTGTACACACAAGGTGCTTAATGTAAGGAAGGGTCTTCCTACCACAACAGCATCCCGGGGAGCTGTGGAAGGTCACGTTATGTGAGCAACACCTCTGGGCTCCCACCCAATTGCCACCATTGCCCAGCCCCGAGCAGCAGAGAAACGTAGTATTTCTGAACCGCGTCAGAACTGGAGTATTTATACTACTGAGCACCCAAAGGACTGTTCTAGAGAGAAACTGGTCTTAACAATTTTTTAATAAAAGAGCCTTTGTGAAATTGCTCATCTGCAGCATTCCTGGGGCTTTGACGGAAAGACACATACACACTTATGTGTCACCTGCCTGCCTGTCTGACCGTGACCTTCTGCCTCCCTACAGCACGGCCTCCCTGCCAGGAGCCCGCTCAGCCCCAAGATGTGGCCCTGGGCCAGTCTCCCTATTTCTGGGGCGGATACAATGATGTCTTTCCTTAGGCTCTGCCTCTCTCGAGGAGAAAAGGCCACATTGACCTAACAGGCTACCTTCGGAAGGTACTCGTTCCACTTCAAAAATGGACAAACAAGTGGGCGGCGGGTTCTGCCACACAAATGCCACGCCTTGGAGAAGGCCGGGCGAGGAAGGGACCTGGCCCTGCTTGTGTCCGTCGCAGTGATTGTGATTCCGCTGGTTTATCATCTTGCTCGGCTGTGGGAAATATTCACCCGAGAGGAGAAGCTGCTCCTTGGTGGGAGCCCGAGGTGTCTTGTCTTTGCCATCCTAGGGCGCCTGTCATCTGTCAGGCTGCGGTGTCTCTACAGCTCCCCCCCTCCAGAGGGCATTTCCGAGAAACTGCCGCCCCAACTTGCCCACTGGCATCTCTAGGAGCACGCAGAAAGGAAACATTCTGGAGCAAGCTCAGACGGGACGGGACACATTCCTGCTCAGTCTCCCGAGTGGTCAAGATGCAAGGAGTATAAAGGGGTTCCCCGCACGGGCTGTTCCCAGCAGTGGTTACAATTACAGTGCTACGTCTCAAAGGGGATCACTTCATATGGCTTCATCCCCTCTCCAACCCCCCCCCTTTTCCCCCTGGTTTAGGTCTATTTTGCTCAGAGATTATTAGCTATAACTCATAAGACATGCATGTAATAGATGTCACCATGTTCAATTACAGCGTTTTGTAAATGTCACCTGAACGGCACAACCAATACGGTATGTGGTCTTTATTGTCATTTGCTGCAGAATTAATACAGTGCTTATTAACAAGATGGTGCTCGGACTTTATCAGAATGAAGGGTCTCACAGTAGAGTTCTGAGAATACGTCCAGCGTGAATAAATGCATTTTCTGTATCTATAGTTACTGTTGTATAGAAATACGCTTTCAGGAGAGTTAACTCTTTGGGTTTAACTATCTTTTTTGTTTGTTTGATTTGGGTTAAAAAGAATTAAAGTTGCTGTGAACTTACACAGGAGGATGCCTGCTTACTACAGAGTTACTTTACTGGACCAGTGAAAATATGCATTCCAAATATTATTAAGAGAAGATGTTCGTCTGAGATGAACTGTCACATGGAGGAAAACCACTGGGCAACTGGAAACAGCTGCGTTGGAGGGGTTATAGAAACAGAAAATTAACTCCAGTATTGATTGGGCCACTAGACATTTGGGGGCCTGTTTGTTACATCTGTTTAACTTATCCTGACTACTATTGGTAGCGATGCAATGGGCCTCATCTTATATTATTTTACACCTATGAGTTAAATCAGCATCTGGTTACTACCTAACGTCCCTGCCAGTGCTACGATCCCTGCTGAATTTAGCCTTAAGCTCCTGAGGTATTATCACCTGTCCAAGTTTGTATACCCTGGTCCTTGGGATGAACTCACGCCAAAGGAGATGCCAGATGTGTCCAAACGTGTGGAACTCAACTTAGACTGAGCCTGGGAACCTCAGCTCGGTCACAGCTCCGCCCACCTTACCTCCAGGAGTCTGTCACCACCCTGGTTCTTGGATAACTCGTCAGTATGAGCCTTTCTGTCAAGCTCAGATCCACTTTCCTCTTTTCCAATTGACGCACCAGCACCTTTGTTCTTATGCTTCGCAGCTGGGCCTCTACAATCTCAGGCGGCTCAGTCATTACCAAGCTTGCCAAGAGCAATGTCACCACCCATCTCTCCTTAAGTCTCTGAGTAAGAGACCGCGTGACTTAGGCCCGACTCTTCCCGGCTTTCTTTAAGCTGCAGCTAAACTCCCCACCGTTCAGATCCTTCGCCATCCCCACGCTCCTGGCCAATATCCACGCACCACACTATTCAGGGTCGAGCCCCTCGCAGGCCAAAGGAACCTGTACACTGTTTCCATCTCTACGCTCTAATATCTGGCTAACACAAAAGGTGAGGCGATGTATTTTCTGCAAAAATTCACATGGCGACTTCTGGACATGTTGCAGTAACTGATGACAAATACTCAGTTTTGAGCAGATGAACAAGCTTGGGTGAACTGCAGGGAACAGGGCATTATGCAGAGGAAGTGTATTCTGCTCCATTTTCTAATGTATTTTCTCAAAAATTATCACTGTGGCGGAACAATCAATTTTCATGAGTAGGGTCCTAATTCCTTATGGGCCCGACCTGGGACTCCTGCCTTCACTGATGCTTTTCCATTTCCCCTAATTCATTTCAAGCCCTGGTCTTCGGCCTTATTAATCTATTTTTTAATGCCTCCTAACCATTCCTCTCTGTTCTGGCTCCGCTGCAGCAGTCTATTGATGTTTTATTGAGCACTGCAATCAACCATTCTTCTTTCTTTTACATAATTACAACTATATTTTCAGTGTTCAGCCAACTTTCAGGTTCCCTTATTGTTTTTTCTTTCCTTTTTTTTTTTTAAAGGAAGTGGCTTAGATTAAACCCTCTAATTTTGAGGACACAGCTTAGGGTACAATTCCACTGTGATGTAACAGAGGCTCAGTGGTGTGTAAAACTTAGAAAACCATTTGATTTTTAGATAGGTCTGATGAAGGCACTCAAAGCCCTCCCCTCTGAGATACATAAACAAATAAACGAGTAAATACATGGAAACACTCTTACATAAAATTTAGATTAACCAAAGAACATGTATGCATAGATGCAGAGCCCATGGACACAGACAATAACTTGGTGAAGGCCTGAGGTGGGGAGGGCGTCTGGATGGAGGGAGGCCAGTGGGGGAAAAGATGTGGGACATCCGTAATAGCATCAACAATAAAAAAATTTAAAAAAATTAAAGGTCTATCTGGATGCCCCAAAACTCATCCATGGTAGCCCTAGGGACAAAGGACTCTATATGAAGGACTCCTCAATAATAATAACTCTGCTCTATTTTCTACTCTCCTACTAATAGTAACATTATTTTTGTGCTTTAGATGCTCTATGTGTCTTGACTTTGGCATCCGTATTTTTAGGCTGTAGTGACTCAGAGCATTACTTCACGCCAGCCTCAAGATCCTGGCATTGGCGGGAGGAAACATTACAGCACTTCTAACGCAAGAAAAAGGCGAACGCGCCATATCTTATGGGATTGGACTGAGGGTCAAGTGACAACTGCCCAACGGAAGCTCCCTTCCAGAACCCGGAGAGCACAACACACTCGCTCGGGCCATTTGGGGCTGGCTCGGATCCTAAGTTATTATAGCAAAATGAGGCTTGAACAACTGCCTGATATTCTTGTGTGCTCCCTAATATTATTAAGGACTGTGATTGAGTGAATTTTAGAAATGTCCTTGAGTTCAATTTTACAGATTGTAATGCTGACAGCGTTGACACCTTTTTTTTAGCATGTGTTGTGATCCTGCAGAAAACAATAAACATCTTTAGAGGCCTTTTGTAGGATTATTTAGGCAAGGTGGACTTGACACTGTGTTTTCACCTGTAATAATAATCTTGGTGTCATACATTTTGTGTCTGCACTTGGAGCGTGAGGAAATCATAAAAATTAAGGTAGAACGTGAATGTGATTTTGAGATGAACAACGTGGAGGCGTTAAATTCGTGAAACGCCTCTGTCATTTCATCTGCATTCAGATTCCTATTTGTAGCTCTCTCTGGCTACATATCGGAGTTCATGAAAATCCTATTTATTTCTGCTATAAAAACGACCAAAAGAGCAATTAGAAAACGGTTTAAAATGTTTTTAAATCAATGGAAAAAATGTTAACATTTTAAAGTATGTCTTGTTTTACCCATTTTCAAACTATTAATTTTGCACATAGAAAATATGGACATATAGAGGCATCTAAGAAAAGCTTTCTCTGTTCCCTTCCCCTACTCCCACTCCTGACACCAAAGTACACGTTCAAATATGCTATTATTTCCTTTTTTCCTCACTGTTGGATAATACTCCATCGGGTGGATAGGCTACCTTTCATTTATCCACTCCTCAGCTGGCTGACACGGGGTTCTCCTGCATTTTGACTATTACGAATAAAGGAGCTATGGGTGTTCAGGAGTAAGGTGGTGTGAAGATATATATTTTCATTTCATCTACATATATACCTAGAAGTGAAAGAACTGAGTCATATGGTAGCTGTTGAACGCAGGACTGTTTTCTGCCTGTAAAAGTGGGTACACATTTTATACTCCCCCAGCTGGCTCTGGGGATACCAATCACCTCCACACACGCATTAATGCTCCTCATGGTCTATCCTTCTAACGAGTGTGCCCTGACCGGGGATCAAACCCACAACCTTGGCATCCTACCTGGCCAGGGCCCAATGAGCTTTTGAAAAGGGAGCGATGCTTCACCTTCACTCCTGAGAACTCACCCGGTCGCACAGGAGGCTCCCGTTCCTGGTGCCAACTGGGTCACAGTCGCAGGGCTTGCACACGTCTACGGCTGAAGGATCGGCCCCGACTGGCCGGAAAAAGTAATCCTTACACAGCTCACAGTTCCTTCCTGCGGCGGGGAAAGGTGATGCCTGGTGACTTCCAGTTCATTAAGATCGGCTGCATAATTCAGAATTAAAGACTGTATTCCTTGGAGGGGATTCTATAATTTTCGGGACGTCCGTTTTAATGCACCTTTCATCTCTACCTGCCAATGTAGTGATCCGGAGCATATGAAACAATGAACCTGTTACAAACTGTGTTTTACTTCATTAAACTCCCATCTGCTGTAAACGCCACACCTCCAAAAAGCTGGCCTTTGGAGGGGCCCGGCCATTTGAAAAGAGTTTCTTTCTAAACTTAAAACTTGACTTCTAGGGCCGGACACTTAGTCTAAATGGAATATGAGGGATTTCTCTCTGCACAGTGGAGGATGGTGGTCCAGTCAGAAGAGACTATGTATGTAGTGCTAGAAATATTTTCCAGAACTAAACCTGGTAAAATAAGAGACTGCTCTTAATATAATTCATCGCAGTTAATGCAAATGCTTCCGTTAGTGCTTATGGCTATGATTTTTCATTGCAAATATCAATAGAAATTTATTATATTTAGGCATAACAAATAAATTCATATTAAATATTAGAATAGTCTGACATTTTAGAAATATCAGGTAATTCCTATAGCTTGCAATTTACTAATACACACACACACACACACACCCCTAACCTACAGGCGGTTTCTCAAGTAAATATAAATACTATATAGAACTGTTGAAATATAACAAGGCAATCAACTTCCCCTTTAAACATGCATCTTCCTCAAACACCGCTCTAGTTGGCCCAATATTAGAAGACTATAAAAATAATCAGTGAAAATTCACATCCTGATGGATATTGGCTATGGTCTTAAAATTAAATGGGTTCTTAGTATTTATAGACTATGTCCATGTACATATGCTGATGACTCTCAATTTCTGATCTCCAGTCTAGAAATAGCCCCTTTATTTGCCACTGCATGGACACGGACGGGGTGATTTCCATGCCCCAAGCACCGTGCTAAGAGCTGAGAAGGGTTTCGTTACCTGTGGTGTTGTGCTCGCAGCCGTCGCAGACCCCCCCGCCCCCTGCGAGGTGCTCGGCGGGAGAGGGGTCCACGGAGCTGTCGTAGTGGCAGCTTCTCGCGTGGCCATTGCACCGACAGGGCCTGCAGGCGAAGGCGTGCGCTGGGTCGCCCGGGCGGAAGGGCTTGTCGTTGTAGAGGGGCAGGCAACGCTCACACTGGAACGACAGGTCATCTCAGAACAGCAAGTCCACACACGGCCGTGGCTATTTTTTTAATGTACAGATCGGGCCCTTTGACTAGACAGAATATCATCACAGTGAAAAGCCAGCAACTGTTCTCACCGCTTGGTAGTTCCCAAACCACTCCATGATGTCAGTGGTGAATTTCTCTTCTATTGTAGAAATTTAAAAAGTCAGGACTTGCCCGGCCAGTGTGGCTCAGCGGTTGAGCGTTGGCCTAGGATCCGGGAGATCACTGGTTCGTTCGATTCCCGGTCAGGGCACAGGCCAGGGTAGGGGGCTCGATCCCCAGCAGGGGGCGTCCAGGAGGCAGCTGATCCATGACTCTCATCACTGATGTTTCCATCTCTCCCTCTCCCTTCCTCTCTCTGAAATCAATAANGGGGCATCCAGGAGGCAGCTGATCCATGACTCTCATCACTGATGTTTCCATCTCTCCCTCTCCCTTCCTCTCTCTGAAATCAATAAAGATATGCTTAAAAAAAAAAAAGTCAGGACTTTGTCTTTGGAGCATTGATATAGCATTTAGTCCAGAAAGGAGAGGGGCAGAGAGAAACATCAATGATGAGAGGGTCATGGATCGGCTGCCTCCTGCAGGCCCCCGACTGGGGATCGAGCCCGCAACACGGGCCTGTGCCCTGAATGGGAATTGAACGAACCATGATCTCCTGGATCCTAGGTCGATGCTCAACCGCTGAGCCACACCGGCTGGGCTTGCCATGTCTCTTTTATAACGGCTTTTGGGGTCCCAATAAGGATAACATCTTAAAAGAGTTTTCAGTTTTTTCGATCACAAGCATAAAGCGAACAAAAATGTTGTCTTCCCGCAAATATCAAAGGCAAGCTTTGGCTGGGTCCGCGCCTCCGGCTCAGGTAGGCGCCGTCCCAAACGCAAACAGCCAGCAGTTGCTTCGCAGAAGACAAACTGCATCTGTAATCGGTGTGACAGGACCGCGGTTTCCATGTCATCACTCCCACCAACTTTCATGCAGGAAAGTGTAACTCGAAATACAAAACCAGCATCATAGCACCCTCTGATGAGCAAGGGCATCAATAAGAATACTTGGAAATGCAGTAAAAAAAAAAAAAATAGGCTTTGGGCAAAATTTTGCATTTGGCCCAAGTTTTGCCATGGAACAGGACTTTTATAAAAATCGGGAATGAGATTAATTGCATGGCTAATGGGCCCGGGGGAGAGAATCTGATGAGCCCGTGTCTCTCCCTCACAGCCAGGAAGTCAGGGAGTGAGTCTGCCTCTTGTCTCCCATTTGCCCAACTGGAACCTATCTGTCCCCCAACTTGGGGCTACAAGACGTGCATCCTAATGATACCTGATGGCCCCCAGGAAGTAAGTGTTGGCTAGGGCCTCCGCCTCGGCAGCTGTAGCGACATTGGATCAACATTAACCAGAAATGAACTTTGATCACAAACGGCTCCTTGCTCCACTCTATCGGCCGTATCCTCTAGATCAGACCCTGGACCCGTGCGCTATGATCGCAGAATTGGTTATTAATGGTTATAAATAATAGATTGCATGGGAGCAGCCTGATAAACCGCTGGTGTCCCTTGAACTGAAGGCCAACACCTGTGTTGGGCTCCCCCCTCCCCCAGTCCCTCTCCCCGACCTTGTAATTTCCAGATTTGGAACGTGGGTTATGTGCCAGGCTTTCTGTTGGGCATTATTGACATGTTATCACCTATCTTTAGATTATTTAGAGTCAAAAAAATAATAATTAAGACCCTGGATTAAGTTGTTTTCTTTTTAGAGCTAAAGAGACTGAGCTTCGCAGAGGTGAAGTGGCCTCGGGGATCTGCTGCTGAGTGACGTTGTTCATATGAACCTCTTTATTACCCAGTCGCTAATCTAGTAATAAGTAGGCGGCGATGTCTTCTGAGGGTTCAGCAAGGGACAGACACTCTGCTAAGTACGTGGTCTTTACAATAACCCTGCGAGCCAGGTATTATTACCCCCATGTAACTTAGGAGAAAAACAGGCTTAATGGGATAGAATTAATTATCTAAGAACACAGAGACAGCACATCGAGGAACAGAAGTTAGATATGGGAAACTATATGACCCGAAGCCTAGGAGATTCAATAAAATAACCCATTTCAAATGCTTACTATAGCTCCGGGCACATAGATAGTACACATCTCATGTTACTTTTCACAATTAGTGGAAGCACCAGTAATTAAACTAACGTATCTGACTTCAAGCCTATGTCCAATCTCTAGCTTTTGATTACGTAAAATAAATTTGATTTACAAATGATTGATGGTGAGAGAAAACTTGCAGAGGTCAATCCCCCCACGTTAAGACCCATCGTTGATAATATTCTAATGACTGGGACGTTTTTCTTCTAGAAACTGAGTTTCATTTTTCTATTTGGAATTGTTTTATCGCAAGTCATCTAAGAACAGCCAATTCTGAAGTCTCTGCATAAACATCACCCCATGTAGTAATTGCTCCCTCTGTGTCCCCTCTCTTAAATTTCCTCGACAGTGACTTCTTTGAATATTAATGTCTCCATTGCATGGGACTTTTTCTGTTAACAGCTTAGCAAGTGTCTATTAAGCTCCTACTGTGTGGGTGACACAAAAAGTGTAAAAAGTCAATAACTTGCATTTTCCAGAAGACGCATGTAAGTTAAGTTAATTATTTCAGTTCAAAGTGATAGGAGCGAGGTCTAGGTATTAATAGTGTTAGCGGAGAGGAGAAGGGAGGTGGCTATCTCAGCCCAGAGAGTTGATAAGTTGTGTGTTTCTAAAAATCTATCCATTTCTTCTACGTTTATCTAGTTTGTTGACATCTAAGATTTTTTATAACAGTACAAGTTGAATGCCCCAAAGGGAACGGTTTGAATATCATACAAATGTATGTTAATATAAATGTAGAGATATCCATAATGTAGCTGGAATTTAAAAACCAAGTGAAATCGATATGTAGAGTGTAATCCTGTTTTCCAGATAAAGGTAGATTCATCTACGGATACGGAAATGGAGCTACAACTTTAAGATAGAGATGGTATAGATTTACGTAGAATAACAATAATAAAAGATCTGAAAGGATATTAACTAAAGAGTGTTTGCCGAGATTACCTACGGGTGCTGGAGTTACAGATGACTTTGACTTTTTATGACTTTAGTTTTTCTACGGTGTACATTTATTACTAACGTGTTAAAAGCCGAGAGCAAATAAAATAGAACTGCAAGGGTGATTATAAGAAAACTATACATCAATTGCATCATTTGTATGTAGCATTTCACTAAGAAAACTAAGAAAATCAAAATGTTTGTTTTAAAGTATATACAGATCAGTAAGATACTACGGAGAAAATAATTTTCTCTTGGGGCAAAATGTAGGCTGAGGGTTTATGCATTACCAGTAAACAGAGTATGATTTTTAAAAGATAAAAAAATTCAAATAATGAGATTAATATACAGAAGCAAGGATTTTGAGGGATGACAGACTAAATTTGTTATGAAATTTGACTTAATGCGTACAGACCTAAATGACGCAGTGACATATCTTTGCTTTTGATCTTAAGCATGATGCTATGTTATTATCATTTTCATAGTTTACAAAGACTGCAAAAGGGAAGGAATGCTTTGTAGTCTATTATTTGATTACAAAATTAATGAAACTTTAGCAGAACACTCTCCAGGTCCATCCGTGCCGTCACAAATAAAACCAGCCAGTCAGAGAAAGGCAGGGACCATATCATTTCACTTATGTGTGGAATCTAATGAACAAAATAAACTCACAAACAAAATAGAAACAGACTCATAGATGCTGAGAACAGACTGGCAGCTGGCAGAGGGGAGGGGGGAAGGGCTGGGTGAAAAAGTGAAGGGATTAAGCCCAAAACAACAACTCATAGACCCAGACTACAGGATGGTGATGACCTGAGGGAAAAGGCAGGTGGCAGGAGGTAGGAGAGGGCACAGGGAGTGTAAATGGTGATGGAAGGAGGCTGAATGTGGGTAGTGACGATATATTATAGAAACTGTACACCTGAAGCCTGTAAAATCTTATTAACCAATGTCATCCCAATACATTCAATAATTTGTTTTTTTTTAAAAAGAGGTCTCATCCACCTGACTACAGGAGAAAGGTAACTTACGGTTGTTCCTCCAAAAAAAGTAATGCTTTTTTAAAAACTGATTTCAGAGAGAGGAAGGGAGAGAGACAGCGATCTGTTTCACAGTGAGATTACAAAATGCTTACTTTTTAGAGATCACTACAGTATGACCTACTGAGCTAAAAAAGGCCCTTTGTTCCACGGTCCCCAGGGGCCTAAATGAATTAGGGATCTTCAGAAAGTCTGCAAATCGCTCCTTTCTCATCAGGAGCTGCCAGACCAGGAGGTTGGAAACCTCGAGAACCTAAATCTCTAAGGATCACCATTGTCCTCAGGCTCCGCTCACAGTCCAGAGCTTCTTCCTGCCTTCGGAGGCAGCAGTTCCCTTGTTATTCAAATGGTGCCGTCTTAGTGCAATTTCTTTCCTGCACTAGGTGGACAAGTCATCTCTACAGACATAAATACCCCACTGCGCTCATGGAACTATTTCTTCCCATGCACGTTTCCCCACGTGGCCCAATGGCTCCAATCACAAAGCCATCGGTAGACAAACTAGATAATTTATGATCAATGACAGATGGGGGGGGGTGCAGAGGGGGGAGGGAAGTGGAAGTAAAACTTCCAACAACAAAGAGAATCCAGACAGAAAATTACTCAGCGCTCTGCCCATGATAGGTGATCAATGCACGTGTGATGAATGCCTGGATGAGTGACCTAATAGACTGTTTGCATTTATGACAGGCTGGGGGGCTGTCCCTTCGTGTGTCTGGTATGTAATTGAACAGTCGCATTAAAGATTTGAAGGTAAGTGCAATATTCTCCTGCAGGTTGTTACCTGTGGGTGACTGTGTCACCTCAATTAGCAAATGCAAAACAATTACCAGGCTTCCCCATT